ATAATACTTTTCAACTCGAGAAATAATCCCAATTTGAAATGCAAGTTCTCTTTCGAAGCCCGTAACTTGTCAATTAATGTGTCACGAAAAAAAATCTTGTTTAATTCTTCACACCTAATAGATGTACAAATAGGCCCGCACGGGTATCATGTAAAAAACCTACAAAACGTCAAAAAAACCTACAAGATGCCAACTGCAGACTAGGTAGTTTTTACGGCGCAAGCAGTCATTCCAAGTTTGCTCACTAAGATCGTTGTGAACGTCCAAGCTACACGCATTATTGGTTGCATAGTTTTTTGAGGCTGAGCGATTCGTGTCTGTAGTTTTTATCTCTGAGAAGAAAGTTGGTTCAATAGCAAGATGGCATCTGGTTGAGTATGTGTATTGGTCTGCATGTGTATAAAATCAGTGATATTTGCTGTGTGAGAAAATCATTACTGAATATGCTTCCAATGAAGTATATCTATTGGCTGCGACTAGGTATGCAACGATATATCGGAAAACCGATAAATATTGATATATCGACAACCAAAAATATCGATATTTGTCGATATCGACGATACGCCGATATCGATATATCGATATCGAAAAGTCAATATACCGTATCAAAATATCGAAAAACCCACCCAAACTAAAATACCCACAAAATCGGGTAAAACGCAAAGATGTGACGCATGTTCTGCGACCACTGGAAGCTATAACAAGAGAGGCTTCTGACGAACATTATGTCACTATTTCAAAAGTTGTGCCTATGGTGAGTTCTGCAATTGACCTATACGATGAATCGAGGATCACTTCAAGCCATTGCTGGCGATTTGAAGAAAAATATTACTCTGGAAATGGAGAAACGTTTTGGCCAGTTAGAATACAATATGTTAATAACAGTTTCGACGTTGCTAGACCGTCGTTTCAAAAACTTGCCTTTTAAGAAACACACATGCGTCAGATGTGCAAAATCGATTTCAAAAATTAGAAAAATAATTTCAGAATATAAATCTGCAGCCGCAGCCGCAACAGGTTCATCACCATCTTCAGAGGATGAAGATAAAAGTGAATTTGATTTTTGGAAGCACCATAAATCTTAGGCTCATACGCAAATAAAAAGAAAAAAAACTGGCGGTGACGACGAGCTCACGTTATATCTTTCTGCTCCAGTAAATACTCTAAAAGTAAACATTATTGAAATATCGCAAGAGATGCAAGGTGTATATCCCAATCTTTTTAATGTGGCAATGAGTCATCTACCAATTGTGGCGAACGTATTTTTTCAAAAGCAGGAGCAGAAACCGGCTATAAGGAAGCAGACTGTCAAGGTTACTATTTTTAAGTTCAATAGCTAGTACAAAATACTGGAATTAATTTTTCCAAATAAATGTATGGAAAGAAAAACACATTTTATATACCTATCCAAATTTTGTTTCATTTCACATACATAAGTATAAAAATTTATATACATACATAATCGATAACTGTTTGATATAACCGAAACAACATTGGATTTCTAATTTCTGTAAGCTTCCAAAAAAAAAAATCAAATCTCGATATATCGGCTTAATAGACCGATATATCGATAGATCGATATCGATTTAATTCGATATACAGGGTGACTTTGAAGTTGAGTCATTAATTTTCAGATAACGATTGTAGAAGGAAGATAAACCAAAATATGTGTGTAAAAATAAAAAAAAATTAAAAAAAAATGTTTACCTTGTTTTATAAAGTATCCTCCCGACAAGTATTTCAGTGCGGACCTGTATTTGATCGTGAGGTCCCCTGTGAGGTCTTAAGTCACCTGATTCACGAGCCCGTTGTACTACATTAACAAAGGCACGAGGGGTTGGTTGCACTCGATTGGGAAACCGATCCGCATGAACATGTGCCATTTTTTATTTCGTTTGAGCCACGCAACAGACACTATTCACACGCGACTGACACTGACTGTATGTATAACTGAACTGAATAACATATTGTAAAAACATTGTTCCAAATTCCTTCGCTTTTTTGTTTCCGATGCGATGAACCCATAAGGCGGATTATATCCGTTGTTGTCAAACACGAGCACATATTATTGAGACAGGGCGGTACTCAAACTTCGAAAGGGCTATAACTTTGTTACATTAATTTTACCAGAAAAATGGTAAAGGAAAAAAACATTTCTTTTGATCAGATCTACTCACTGTTAAAATAAATGACTCAACTTCGAAGTCACCCTGTATATCGATATCGATATATCGATAATTATAGAAAGTTTGCTTCCCTAGCGGCGACCGACGGGTTATTTTTATGTTCTGCTTTCTGAAGAGAGGTTATGTTCAAAGTTATGAATTACGAAAAACGGGAGAATTACAGGAAATAATGACCGCGCCCGCGTTGTGTGTAATTACTGTTAGCATGTATATGGCTTGTAATTCGACAGTACAGTGAATATAATTATTTATCTCTCTCATTTTTGAAATTCATTAAATTTGTATATGTAATTTCCAGAATGGATAAGAAAAAGTGGATGCGCAACTAATTTCTAGCTTCGAGCCTCGATTAAGTGTATTCGAGACAAGAACCCAAAGTAATTATCATCAACACATACAACTTACAGCTTAGATCTCCAGTAATACCATCTCAGAAACAGATTTTACATCATATCAGAGCCAAAGACGTATAGGCAACACGTACAACTAAGTGCTCAGTTAATATCTTGTAGAAAAACCTACATAATGTCAAAAAACAGCATAATGCCAAGATACGTGATACCCGTGCCGATATGAACGAATTTTGAAGCCACACCTTTTTACCTTTTTCGCTGAACGCTTCATGTGAAGTGCCCCATGTTAAATCCACTTGTACTGTTATACTCTTTTGACGTTACTACAAACTAAGATTTTGAAGACAAACGAATCGTAGTCTTGCTTCTCTACCTAGTCAGAATTCGTTGCGGAAAAGTGGTCGTTTTGGCCCCAAACTTCAGAATAACCGCTAAAAGGCAATCTAGTCTCTGAAAATCCATGTTTGCTACCCCCGATACGCGAGAGGGATGATTTCGTCCCACGAGAGATGACAGTTTATTGGGATAAGCACTTAATAGAGGCTGCTGGCTTCTCCCTCTTGTTCGAGACCCCCGAGGAGTCCCAGTCAAGCCCTCCCCTCCAACCCCAACTGTAGCGCTCCTAACTTCGTTACGGCGCGACTCTTAATTCATAAAGCTTTTGTTTTCTTGTCGTCTCCTCACCCTCAGGATATGTCTCTTACTCTCCTCAGAGCGACGTAAAGTGCCTCCTTGTCTGACGGATGTACACCAAAAGCAAATGGATGAGTGCTTATTCAGGATCTCTCTAAGTGCTTTATCCATTTTTTAGACACGATACTCTTACTTTTAGATGATAACTTCAAGATATTTTTTTTACTTCCTACGTATAGACGAGATCTGTTGCATCATCAAAAATTATATCGTATATTACGTTCTTGATATTCTGAAGCATTGATATCACTGGTTTGGCTGTATTAAGAAGTAAAGAAAAAATGGCGGCAAGTAGGTTGCCTCTTCATTACGCACGCATGGACTATGTGCGGCACAAGTTAACCCTCTGAAACAAGGTTAGTTACGAACATGTAAAACTGAAAAATTAATCGGATCAAATCAGGCCAAGACAATCGGTCTATAAACGGTTTCGAAATTTTTCGCGATTACAATACTTCTTCACGAGTTGGGGTGGAAGGTAAAGTTAAAGGTTTCAACGTAATTGTCCATGACAAAAAAAAATAGTGATGTTTGACTGTTACAAGCTATTGGCAACTATAAGCGGGACTTTTGGTCCTGAAAGTAACTGAAATTTCAAATTTATCGCTCCTATGAGATCTCTGCATCTCTCATTTTTCTTCTTTATTTCAGTACTTGATTAATCTTTAGAAGCTCTGAGTTCGAATATATTTGAAATCTTAGTGCGAAATTCACCAATTTCCAAAAAGTGACTTAATTTTTTTTATATGAACGCATGACCGCAACGCTTTCGACTTCAAATTTTTAATGAAATATACTAAGGCACAAAACATACGTAGAAATAAAGGTGCTGCTCAACTGCGGCCACATTAAAAACAAATGTAGAGGTCCCATTATAGTTGGGTACTAATTTGTTCCAACTTTCGTTTTTACTATGACCGCAGTGACGCAACACTTTCGCTTTTCCATCTTTCATGTCTCATAGATTTAAAGTAGAAAATTTTGCGACCATGCGCTCATAAAAAATAGTAAGTTAAATATTCAAAAGCTAAGGAAATTTGGACGAGACTGCCGAAACTGTGATCTTTGTGTTTTTAAAGTACAAGCGCTGTTACTGGAATTTGTAAGGCTGAACAAGCCTAATTTATACAAACTTATTGGTAAAAATAGAAATATGAGTTTTATATTACAGATAAAAACAAATGCAAGGAATAGGCAGTGTTCTAAATAAATCGAATTGTCCTCGTTTTTGTTATGCATACATGCAATGTGGCAAGGTTGCGTTTTATTGTAGTTCTGGATGTTTTATGATCACTTGTCCTTCTGTGGTTCTATAATTCTAAGCATATTCGTTTCTTCTCCGGTGTGAACACAAATATATCATAGACTTTTTTATGAGAAACTTTAACAAAGTTATGAAATGTTTGGTTTGGCTTCGCGTCAAAATCGAAAAAAAAATATGCAAGATGTCATGACTGACGGTAGTCCGTATTGTTAAATCACCAAGGTTCACTTTAGTGGTCATTAAAGCTCGTTTTTCGTCGACTAAGGACTCTCTAATTTCAATTTGTTTGATACTTTGACACAAAGGAATCCTTCACTTAAATATCAACTTAGAAAAAAGATATCGTTTATGTATGCAGCATTTGCAATCTTCAAAATTATATATCTGCCTTTCACGAACGTGTTTAAATGGCTTTCTGTAAACAGTTTTGCTACAAGATCCATCTTTCCATTGATCTGCCGATCGGCCAGATGTACTGCGGAGTCAAAAGGGAAAGGAAGTAACTTTTAGTGTATAAATAAAAAGTCTTTATTGACAAAATACATTTCCGCACATCATATTCGCCTTCATCTTTTTACATACAAAGAACACATCTGACTTTTCGTATACAAATGCATGATGTAAAGATACACATCACATGCGCATAACCAAAGTATACAGAATAGAAGCACAAGATCACTGATGGAAAAAGAAATTTTATATTGGACTTCTTGAGTGATGCCAATATCTTCAATATGAAAAATTACGTCAAGTAGATTGAGTTCACTTCCCGCGCAATGCTGTCAAAGAAAATTATAGGCTGACAAAAATGAGCCGACGCTCTTACCCAGAAACCAGAATATACTTTCCCGAAGATTTTGATGGGCTGAATCCGAACCCGTGATCCAAACCTTCCAAAGCCTTGCCCTTTCAAATTCCAATGAGTTTGCTCACATATCTTTTTCTTTCGCTAATATACCTTGAAATTTATGATTTCTCTAAACTAGATCTGTTCAACTTTTATCAGAAGGAAGTAATTTTTCATTGAAACAAAGCGTCTGCAATGTTAAACTCATCTTGGTAGGGTGGGGTGGGCAGTGGGCTTGTAGTTTGTGTGAGTTTTAGGTATTTTATGGACTTAGTGTTGAGGATTTATGGGTTTTTTAACTCGCTGTTAAATGTTTGGTGTATTATAATCCAAACCAACATCGAAAAAAAAGGTTATTTAAGCAAACTTAATGGCATTTGATAAGGCAATGGTTGACTGACTCCTTCTACCTAGTCTGAATTCGTTGGTATAATCACACAGTGATCGTACTACTTATAAGTCTGTATATTTGGCACGGTGTACCACACATGCTCCTTCGTAAAACGCGATTCATCTGTTTATTGGTACGCGCTCGCCGCGCGGCACCAGTACAAATAATTTAAAATCACAAAAACGGTCGCTACTTCAAAGACCACTTATTTATTTAAACGTCTTTATTGCCCGAGTTGTTGCGTTTAATTAAATTTTCGATGGTAAATAGGGAGGAATTCTTGCTGTTCTTGGATGATACTGGCGCCGAAGCTGTCGTTTCGCGCAGATGCTCCTGGTTCTGCTTCTGAGGTGACGTCGAGGAGGATGGAGATAGTTCTGCTGTTGTCGGCGAATTTGTTAGGCTTATTGGTTGCTGGTGTTGGTTCTGTAACAAATAAAAGCAAGGCTTTAGAGATCTTACGTGCGAATTGCGTATATTGCAATGAAGAGGAGCATACTCCTAATCACCTACTAAAATGTGGAAGTTGGGTTTACTACCAGACACAGCTGGAACTGACGCTCGGCGAGAGGCTCATTGCTGACAATTTTGCCACGCGTATACGTGAGATAAATGGGTTGATGTTCAGCCAATAGTGGGACGAATGATGCTGAGTAAGGTACACAAATAGATAAAGGAACCAATGGTAGGCTTCTGTTTTGCTCGGTTGTACATGTACATAAGTATGTATGTGTACGATAGAGGATAGATGTCTAATACCTTCGGTATGAAAACCTAGCGCAACGCTACCCCCTATGAAGAACTGCAGCAAGAGAGAGGTATAGAATAGAAAGCGGAGCTATAGGCCTGGAGCTGTAAGGGTCGGTTTTGGATCTCTTTTTTGGGATGGCTTGGCTATGAGCAAATTTCCAGTTTTCTAGAAGGGTGCTGAATTCGTAAGATATCTGGAATTAATAATAGTATGCACCTGAGACAATTTTGATTTCCATTAATATTCTGGAGCAACGACCTACATGTCAGTCAATTATCTGCCTTTTTCGTACGGCTTAATTAACCCCTTTATAATTCCAAAAATAGCCGCTTAAACTTTAGTGGACATCCTATGATGGCAAGCAACGGTTGACATAAAGTGTTCGAGGACAGAAGAAATGACGATGCTGGCTGAAGGAACCCCGTGAGAGAGTGAAATCCACCGGTGAGACTTGAAAAGCAGCGAGGAAGACGATTGGGGGCGCAAGAGCATCTTAAAGTGACGCATTTACTTGCCCTGGGGCTCCTGGAAGCGTGTTGTGGGACGTGCAGTACGTCGTGCTTCATCTTAGATGACAAAAGCAAAAGAGTGGTTGGATGGAGACAAGTACTCCATTTTTCCATACATATTCAAAGCTCCAAAATATTCCTGCTGAATTAAAGAATTTGGGAGCGCCAGTTGGAGCGGAGAAGGTTTACTTCTTTAGCATCGTTGGAGACAGCACATGAAAACACTCTAAAGTCATTTGGTTTGTTTGTCAAATCAATAACATCTCACTGGAAGCCAATGTATTAGGAGTCAAACTTCCTTATGGAGGTCCCAAATTGCATTTACTCCATATAATTTAAGTACCGGAAAAAAACATATGTTATGTTCGACAAACATACCAAATACTACAGTTCAATCCTTTGCAACATCAGAAAAAAAACGTATGAAAGATAAAGTTCTTCCTCCGGTTTTTTCCTGAAGCAAAGCTTTAATTTATCCTACAGATGACGACAATCGCGGGGAGAGAGAAGTAGAGAGTGGAAGTTTAACATTTTTAATTAGCTTTGTTTTCAGTAATTCGCGGACCGGTGCCGGTCCTACAATTAAAAACAATGTAGCAGCCGCCTGAGTAGATACTTCCCTATATTATATAGTATAGTAAATATAGTAAAGATATAATTGAAACAATCAGGATAACATCGAACCTCTAGACAGTGTCACACTCGAGAATCATAGAATACCTTGAATTATTATCGGATGTTATTACAAAATTACTGCTCCGAAATGAGCTTCAAAAGGGCCAGTGCAGCAGTGTACGAGACAAACTACTTAGTACGGTACGGGTATAATGTAAAAAATCTATAAAATATCATCTTGCAGACTAGGTAGTTTTTAGGGTGCAAACAGTTATTCCATGTTTTCCCGCTAGGATCGTTGTGAGCGTCCATCTATGGAGGAATGACTCAACTACACGCATTGTTGGTTGTATATGCTTTGTGAAGCCGAGTAGACTGTAGTATCCATATCTGAGAAGAAAGTTGGTTGAATAGTAAGATCGCATATGGATGATTATGTGTATTGGTCTGCATCTGTATAAAATCAGTGATATTTGCTGTATGAGAAAATCATTACTGAATATTCTGCCAAGGAAGTATATCTATTAGCTGTGCCCGACGGGTTATTTATATGTTGTCCTTTCTGAAGACAGGTTATGTTCAAAGTTATAAATTATGATTTTTTACGTTTTCTTTTTGTGTTTTCAAAAACTTTGAGAATTACGTGAAATCGCCACCGCGTCCGCGTTGTGTGTAATTACTGTTAGCATGTATATATATGACTTGTAATTCGACAGTGTACAGTGAATATAATTATTACTTATCTCTCTCATTTTTTAAATTCAGCAAAGTTGCATATGTAATTTCCAGAATGGATGAGAAAAAGTGGATGCGCAACTGATTTCTAGCTTTGAATCTCAAGTAAGAGTATTTGAGAGAAGAATCCAATGAAATTTTCATTAACACATATTATTAGCACATAAATCCTTACTATTCACCTATGCATTGACGTTTCCTTCTAGCCAGAGTATACAACTTACAGCTTAGACCTCTAGTAATGCCATCTCTGAAGCAGATTTTAAATCACATCAGAACCAAACATTAACTGAAGCCTCATGACGTTTAGGCAACACGTACAACTACCAAAACGAGTTCACAACGTGTCCCTCAGTTAGTGCTAATAAAACATCTTGTAGAAAAACCTAAATAATGGCACAAAAAACCAATACAATGTCAAAAAAAATCGACATAAGGTTTCTTTTCAAGATACGCGGTTTCGCAAAACTGCTTTTCATAACGCGTACTGTTCACAGTCCTGAGCTGTTCACTGTGTTTTTACCTGTTGCAAGCAACTTCAGTTCCATAAAATAGGTCGCTAAAGTTTCTTTCATTTGGGAACATTGAGTTTAATAATGGATGAAAATGTATGGATATAAGAGCCCCTTCCCAGTTGGCCCACTTCAAGATTTGTACCAAAATATGCCTTTATAAACTAAACATGACGGAACTATTTACTTCTAAAACAATTTATTTTCTCAAAAACATTTTAGATACACTCTAGTCGTAAAAAATACATATTTGAAATCACTTAGACCTGTAACTAATAGAGCATCTGAACAAATAAACAATGTACGAATAAATGCGCGAAGTTAACAAAGCAACAATTGACCAAAGATTACCATTGAGTAAAATAACCTTTATTTTTTATTACGGCTGAAATTCTTTGGTGCATAGTGTTAACCAAGTTTTGGCAAAAATTTGGTGTAAAACAATCCCATATTTCTTGAAGCTTTTGTCTCAGTTCGGTGATTGTACGAGCAGGTTGTTGTCGTAGAACCCTTTTCATCTCGTTCCACAAAGTTTCAATAGGTGACAGATCTGGACTGCTAGAAACCCATTTCAAAAGTGGTACATTATTTTCTTCCATCCATTTTATAGCCTTTTTTGAGGTATGGCACGCTGCACCATCTTGCTGAAACACATAATCTTGGCCGGATGTCAAACATTCTTCCATCACTGGTTAAAGCGATTCTTCTAAAATTGCCAAATATTTGTTTGTATCCACATTTCCATCAATAAAACGAAGTTTTCCTACTCCTTTTGATGACATACTGCCCCAGGCCATAATAGATGCTGGAAATTTCACTTTTCTCTTCAGACAGTCAACATGGAATGCTTCATTTCTTTGCGAATAACTCTACTGCGACTGTCACCAATAGAAACTTCGAATCGGGCCTCATCACTCCATTGTATTGCACACCATTGTTGAGGTGTCCATTGTCTATGTTCTTTAGCCCATCTAATCCGATTTTTCTTGTGCAGTGGAGTTAATAGTGGCCTTTGGCCTATAAATAAGTTGTGCAACTTTAGGGTTTTTGCTTCACTTTTTTTATAAGAAAACTTACCTTGCAAGTGCTAAATCCCAGTTTGTGGGCCTCTCTATGAGTTGTGGACCTCGATTTTCTCCTTCCAACAGCGTCACCCCACAGAGCACTGAATTGTAAATAATTGGCACGCCTGTTTTTCACGATTATTCTTCTTAATGCTCTTCAGTCGGCATTTGTGATATTACTTTTTTTCACATATCGTGGCTTAATATTAACTGAACCAGTTACGTTATATCTTCTAACAATATTTCTCACAATGTACCGCGATAAGTCTAACAAAGTTGCAATTTCTGAGTTCGATTTCCCAGAATTAAATGAATTAATTTTCAGTAACCGGATTTTCTCACTAATAACCTTTACTCTACCCATTTTGAAAACCTTAACTACCCAAAACTATTTTAAACGTATTCTGACAGCTGTGATCAATAAAAACAATTGTCATGGCTTCTATTTTTCACAGCCACCTATGCGTTATAGACTTATTTTGCATTGAAATGAAAATAGGTTGATATGCTGTAATTGCAACATGTGTTATTTTTATGCTGTAAATTTGACTAGGTAGTGATAAAGTTGGTGTTTTCTACTATATATTATCAAAATATCCATTGTTAATATTTTAAACCTATAACATTTTTATTATTTGTGTTTGATAAGAAAAAAACTAAGATTTCAATAGTTGGGCCAACTGAAGTGGGAAGGGGCTCGTAGATATTTCTATAAAATGTCCATTCAAAAGCAGTATATATTTCATTATTATAACAAAATATAGATAAGCAAAACACAATCTACAAAAGGAAAACGTAATGTAGGTTTTGGCACTTGTTGCTAATGCGACGATAATGTCACGCAGCTTCTTAAAACTCTTCAAGTCCGGAGTACTGGTTTATTGAACTATATAGAGGGTTCATTCTAAGAACATTTTATAGTTTACCTTGCCGACATGAATAACAAGTCATTCCGAAAGATAATTATTATTTTTATGCCAAAAACGAAGGGTTCCGTTTTTCTCTTTAAACAAATTCAATCATTTCGTATTTGTGAGTAACTGAACAGATTCGCTAAGACATTCGAAAAACATACATTATTATACACATTTTGAAAAAAAGCGGATGCGTCTATCACCTTCTTTTGCGAAGAAAAAAGTGTTCAAGATTTTATCATACTCTTGTGTATACATATTTAGTGTCGACATTTGTACGCGGTCACAGATGAGCCTTAAAGTTTATAAAAAAAAAATATTTTATA